GTTTCAGCCTAAGCATTATCTTGTTTCAGAGGGAATGAGTGATTTAAAAAGATGAGGCCAAAGAGTTAGTTGTGAAGAAGGCATTAATTGTACTCTGTAATTTCTAAGTTAATTTTTTTTTCGATATTTATAGCTATTTACTGATCTTGTTTTGACGTATCAGCAAGAGATCACTGGCACCTCGTTAGTTGTTAGTCATGTTATGCTGATCCAGTTAGTGACGAGCTATGAAGTAATCATTCGACCTCATTTAATACTGATCCTATCAATGAAGCTATGAAGTAATCAGTGGATCTCGTCAATGCTCATCCTGTCCGGACTGTCAGTGACGAGTTATGAAGAAATAAATGAAGAATCCAAGGAAAACCTTCCTTTTTTATATTATCATATTGTGTGTTAGTTTGGTGTGAAGTAATATGTTCTTTTTTAAAACTAACAGTGTTATAAACTAAATTGATATCAGTTAAAGATGATATATTTTAACAGGTAAAATTCATATAATTGACGATTAAGAGCTGTAGGAGTGTGTTCAGGACTCTGAAAGTGGCATACTCTGATAGCAATGGTATGAAATGGTTAACTTTAGTCAAGGTCTCATGTCTCTACGACCTTCGCTTTTGGCGCAGTGAATCTTCCCGACATTGTAGAGACCTGAAACCTCGACTAAAGTTAACCATTTCCTACTGTTTATATTAGAGGAGCACACATTTAGAACTCCTTCCAAACTCCTTCGTGACTAAATTGACGATTTAGATAATTTTACCTGTTAAAGATTGGTGAAAAATATGGACGTGGCCCAAGTCAGTATTATACGAATAGAAACCGTAGACACAAAAAATTGTTTGGTTGTTCCTGAGGGTGACCGACAACTGAACCCAATTGAACCTAGTTCCCACGCAGTTAACAGAGACCCAATCAGCTTAATTGGGTGACCAATCAGCTTAAATCCCAAAACGACAACTGAACCCAGGTCATATCACAACTGCACCGAAATCGGAAATACGACAACTGAACCCAACAATCGGATTATCAGGTTATCCTTCTTCGCAGGGGACTGTGGTCATTATCACTATAGGATAGATCATGACCACTGTAATTTAGAGCATTGGAGCATTTTCGTTACCTGTCAGGTTACTTGGCTCAGATCTTGTGTCATCTGATGCTTTGGGAGGGCCTGTCATGGTTGGATCTCGATGCTTGAGGAGCAGTGGATCGTATCCTTTTTGGCACGCTTCGTGAACAGCCGAACAGGTAAGCTTGTTAGATCAGATATCGCGATCGAAAGGTACCTGAGACTTTGTCATCTATTAGTACGCTTGTATTATACAGATCGGATCAATACATAAGGAAGAGAGATGGTGGTCACAGTATCGAATCATGGTGGTCACAGTATCGAATCATGGTTGTCCTGAGCAAGTACATCAACGGACAAAGGGGAGCTCAACTACTTCTGGACACAGACGGTTTCCTCTACACCCGGAGAAAGGTTCGGGATACCCTACTACCTCCCCATCGAGATGCCAGAAGTACAGAATCAAGAAATGTCCTGCTCATGTAATCCTTGACCAAGGAGATCAGTCCTTGGCCAGCGGAGCCAAACCTCATTCCCAAGACCCTGACAACATAGTAGCTGAGAAAGCGGAAAGCTGCCGACCAACACCTCTCAGCGACATAAAACCTCCTCACCGAAATGCCCACCCGAAATCAACGTGGATCTACCAAAACTAGAGTCCCTCGCAAGAATTGTCCAAAGATCACGAGCAACAAAGTCTGTTGCCAACCACTCCGAATCTGTTAGTTATTTCTAGTGACGATTGGGTTCAGTTGTCGTTTCAAAGTTAATTAGGCATACTGATTGGGTTTAAAATTATTTTCCCAAGCTACCCTGTCTAGGAAAAGTCCAAATTGGGGTCAGTTGTCCGGTAGCCGTTCCTGATCCTATAGAGCAACTAATTAGAGGTGATATCTAATTATTTGAACGAAAAGTGGTTTTGTGAACCGCCCTTTATTCTACAGCGAATCATGAACATTGAACATGTACATAAGAACTAAGAATTGTATGAAGTATGAGTTTATATTCATCTAGTAATTTATTATGAAATGACCTTTCACTATGCAATTTCGACTAAATTCATGTAGATTGTAGATATCCAATCCAGTTCCATGCACAACTGTTGTTTACATTTGGTCTAGTTAGACACAATTTGTTTCAGAGTGACTCGATAATCGCAATATAATCAAACTAAGATATTATTTAAATGGTCCATGTCATGCAATGCGGAAATATCCCCATAAATTGGCAACTGCCAAAGTGACACTAAAGTTATTGCTAATTCCTTTACAAAACTTAGCAAGTGCTATTAACAATTTTCTAATGGATCATGGAAATTGAAATGTTCAATTTTCTTTTCATAAATAATAATTATAATGCGAAGTTTTATTTACCCCAAGTTTGGAGAGTAAGTAGGTTAAATTGGGAATGCCCCTTCCCAGGGACCACATCACCCCTAATAAACCAAATTAAATATCATGGGAGACCATGCACAGCCTCGAATTATAGTATAATGACTTCGAATAAACCTTTTTTGTCTCTAAAAAAAGGCTTAGAAAACTAGATTTATTTACCTCATTTTACCTCATTTTACCTCATCCCAATTTTGCCTTTTTTGGCTGGCCTCATGAGGTAAAATGAGGTTGACCCCCCCCCCCCCCCCCCCCCCCCCCCCCCCCCCCACGTACTTAAGTGTCGAATAATATCTTATCGAAGTTACAGATCATTAAATTATCAAATAAGTATTTGAACATTCTCAAGCAATATTAACTTTTACTGCCATTCCCACGGCAACATTATCAAATTACATACCCAAACAAAATGGCAGTGAAACTACCACTTATTTCTTACACCCACCGAAATATCTCAGATAATTCTCCATCACCACATTACTAAAATCAGTAGGATCTGTATCACTAATAGTTTCCATACTGGGCTCATAACGTTTAGCCATGGTCAGAGCTAGACACACTGTTTGCACGTCGGAGGTGTTGTCCAGGTAACTCTGCATTAGCTCTCGTAGCTGGTATTTCAATCCTGGGAAGAAGAACATTTTAACGTAATTTTCCAACATCTAATATAACTTAATAGTATACTGATTCTTAACCTTTCCTAACGTCTAGCTTGGCTAAATAGCATTTAATCTGGCACAACTCCAATAACTCCATACTCAACATTGATATTGACATATTATGAGAATTTGCTTTTCCATAAAATAAAACATAACATAATATTTCGACCAATGGAAACAATATGTACCTTCTTTAACTTCTCCGATTCCATACTCAAAACTAAGAAAGAGCTAGAATAACTAATTAATTAATTAACTAACTAATTAACTAATTAGCTAATTACCTAACTAATTAATTAGCTCCACCCACCAGTAAGCACTACAGCGCGTATATTTCCTGCAGCTACCTCCTCACTACACTGACCATCCACAAACTTCTTGAGACGAGAGTCCGAGAGGAACCTGCATGCGAACCCTACTCTGTCTTCTAGCAGGAGTTCTCTGTCGTACAGGATCTCACTGTACGCGTCCTGGCGTCCCGGCTAGTGAGAGGGGGGTTTGAGTTATTGTATTGTATCAGATGCCATCGTGGAGTAGGTGGTCTCCTGCACCTTTTCTGCCTTGACATAAAAGAAAGAACCTAGACATGCAACCTGCAATTCAAAGGTGATTGCAGCCCTTACGGTTTGAGTTATGAAAGTGTAGATAATGATAATTATGTAATTTGTAATAATTATGAGCTATGTTATAATTATGTTATGGCTGTTATGTAATATAAGGTTTTGTTAAATGTAAGTGTATACTGTAAAGTACCCTGCAGTGTTAGCTGTAGAACAATTTACCACATGAAAACTTTGGTTTATATCGCACTTTATCATGTAAACATTGTTTTAATAGTTCAGGTTACTAGGACATTATAGTTTGCAGCTTCTCTTCAGTATTACCATTGAAGTAAGACTCTTACTGCCATGAGCTATGGAGTTGAGATACGACAAGAAATACAAAACTGGACAGATTTATTCGGAGACTTGTTGACATTGAGAATTGGGATGAAATTGTATCCAGTAAATTGTATGACACGGGTGATTAGTTTAATTAAGATTAAAGAGGCAAGTTTGCAATCATAATGACGTGTTAAGCTAGGAAATGTTCTAGGAGCCTGTACATTGTACAATGTACATTATTGATTACTTTACATGTACATTGTGCAATGTACATTGTACAATGTACATTGTGCAATGTACATTGTACAATGTACATTAGCTAAAGTATAAGTACCTTGAGATGCGTGTTATATCTTTACATCTAAATTACTTTTGCAAGGCTCCAATTCGTAAAGTCAAGATTCACATAGTACCCTTATGGAGCGATTTGGCTCCAATATTTATCAGCGGACATAATGATAATATCAAATCGAAATTTAATAACACCGCTTTTAAGATGAAACTTATACGCAGCAGTGTTTAAACTAGTCATCCCAGAAAATAACAGGAATTTACTAAGTTAAGAAAAGTAAATTATGCTTGAAAATATATCGTCAATACTAAAGACATGTTGCATTGCCAATAATATTACTATGACGTACTAAGCTAGGTAAGGACAGGTAAGGTAGTAGGTTAGCACTGGTAGCACCCGGTAGTAGCACTGGAGTGAGAGTTGAGACTGTTCATTGTAACACAGCTCATCAGAAAGTAAATGTTTGGTTGCTGCAATCAGTGTACAATATACATGTGAGATCCTGCACGATTAGCACAATTAGTACAATTAGTACAATTTAATATTGTGAGAACCCGCAAATAACTACCTCAGTTGAGAGAAAAGTGAACATTGCCCTCTGGTAAGCATTTGAAACAGTCTTCCCTAGTGCCTTAATGTTCTGTATCCACTTCTCAGCTGAAACACAGAACAAGTCAAGCTAAAGTTCTGTACTTGAAAACAAAACTATGTTAGAGTTGGGTCAGTTTTATACATTTCCAGCTATGTAAAGAACTGGGAATAAATCGGGGTGATATTTGATACAGTAACAATATACTCGGATAACCGGCCCATAGATTTGTGATTAACTATAATGAAAATGATTATGAATATAATTATTTAAATGAAAATAAACTATAAATAAACTATTGTAATTAGTAGTTAACAATTAGTACTTACCATTGAAACCGGACAGTGCTAACAGCAGAATACGCTTCTCATCATTCTCAGGAGGCAAATCCTGCAAATAACGTTAGCTGTAACGTAAGAAAACACTGATAATAATTGAGAAACTATCATAAAGACGGAAACGGTATTGGGCAACCCGATAGTGTTCTAGAAATACTCAATAATTATGTTACATTTCAAATATAATATATGATGGCGATTCTAGTACCCTTTCTGCAATAATTATACTTGCAATCTGATCATGAAGTTATTGATTTACTCACGTTAATGATGTTTTGCAGTTGACTAATAGCAGGATCAATACCACGGTAGAACAAGGTCATTGCCACTGCCTTGTCCAGCTGTCCTGATCATTAACTGTGTTAATTTACATTATTAATTATAATTAATTAATTAATTATTAAGTTATAATAATTATTTGAGTGAACAAATAATTAAGCTAGTTTTACATTATCAATTGATTTAATAGAGTTATAGTCACTTTAGTGGAAACAATTACGTTGGTTCGAAAGGAGAAATGGAAGCGATTACGATACGAAACATGCGTTTCTTAACCAATAGAAGGAACTTAATAATTAAAGTTTGGTTAATGATCATTAATTATCATAATATTATCATATAAAAATATCCCACCTGAAGAGACAAGTTTCTTGACAATAGCATCACACCCATCATCATACCGCCCAGGACGGGAATTAGGCCACCTGCATATCTCCTGACATTTGCTGCGCTCAGCGCTCACGTACACGTATGGTGCCGGCCGCGCGCCCATCTGCTCTTGACGCGACTCATGAGATTCTGTGGAATATAATGAAATTAGGAGAATCCAAGCATTTCATGCTGATTCTTATTCAAGAATAATTGCAGTTCTTAAAGTTGGCAGATTGAAATTTCAGCACTAGTCTTCCAACTACCTATACCCGAAACATTGATTCCCTCTAATGATTTTACTAATTACTAATATTACTTTAATTAATAATTTACTAATTGACTATTTACTAATCAGGATCATCTAATTTACATCTAAAATAACCTTAAACCTGAACCCAGTAAGGACAGGACACCGTTCTTAAACCTCAATTCACTGTCTTCTCGCGTGTCTTCCAGTTGTGTTACTCCCTCGAAGAACGACCAAAACGCGTACAAACTTCCACTGCCAACTATCTTCTTGTTCCTGCAATATAGTCAAAAAATGACCAGGTACGGTACGGTACCAGCATAAATATTAAGATTATCAACATTAAGTTTATCATAATCAAAACATTAATCTCATCGTTTTACCTGATATCATATACTCACAATGTAGGATCAAAACCGTATCCATAAAATATTCTCTGTTTCATAATATCTGATATATCCTGACTACCAACAGAACAGTCCGCTAGCGTGCCTGAACAACCCCAAACTAGGTTATCAGAGGGAGAGAATTTGGCGATTATTGGCTCGTACAGCGCTATGTCGTAGAGTTTGTCTGGGGAGAGGTTAATAATGGTGAGGTAATCCAAAAATGTTCACTTAAAATAAAGATACATCGTAAAACTGTCATTTTTGTCATAGTCTACTACTTACTAATATAAACCTGCTGAAATTAATATCGGACCAATGGTTATTAATTATTCATACAATAATATGCAGCCTAAAGTATCATCAAAATACCAAGAATAAACTTACATATAGGGACACCAGCATCATCATTGGTTTTCTTGCAGCACAAAATCCTATTAGAAACTTTAGGATGCCAAGAAAAGTTGGAAATCGTCGAACTCAGCATTTCAGGAGCTCCTTTTTGTTTGTGTTGAGGTTCCTGATCATGAACCCCAGTAAACTCAGCTTGCTCGCCATCTGATTTCTCCAGAGTATTGGCTGGGAAATCTCTTATTTGAATGTGTTTTCCACCTTTTGTTATGTAGCTCAGTCGAGTGGGGTGAGTGGGGCTCCATTCTATTTTACAGATGTCGGCTGTTGGACTTTTTACACTGTAAACCGGGCTTGCTGTCTTTAAATACCGGCTGTCCCATATCTTAACATATTCGTCAGAGTGTGAGGCTAGAATGTGCTCGTATCTAGGGGAGAAGCAAGCCCCGTCTATTTCCTGTATGTCATTGTTGGTTCTTCTGCCGGAATCTTTTGATTTTCCTCTCATGTCGAATAGTTCTAGTCTCTTTTTGCTGGTTCCTGCTACTAGAATATCTGCACTATGAGGAGACCAAGCCATTGACTGAACTCCTTCACCTTCACTACCTGCAAGTTTGCTAATGTAAAATAATTAATATAATACTTTGAACACCAAGAGGCTAATTACTGATTACTAATTTCAATCTAGCACTGTGCATTGACATACTTGAATTTTGCCATCATACTTGGATATAATTTACACTTTGAACTTATATAATGCTTACCAAACTCTTGAATAACAGTTGCTTTGTTTATATCAGTTATGAGGATACTCTTTGCTGTTCTGAATTTCTCAATAGATAATGCAATGTTCTCTATACACTTTTTGTTCCAGTCCAAAAGATTGATTCTTTTCACGGCTTGCCTCCTGTCAGTGCTTAAGTTAAGAATATCCTTTGATTCTCCTGAAGTAAAAATTATTATTAATAAACACCAGAAAATCATAATAGTAAAATCATTGTGAAATTTCCTGTGTAAATTTGATTTTTATTATTTCTAATTCTAATAGAGCAAGAGTAGTGATTTAAGATGTGTACCTTTATCAATATCAATCTGATACAGCTTTTGCTGGCAAGAGGTTATTATCTCTCCAACTTTAGAGGGATGGACGATGAAATTCTTATATATTTTCCTGTGGTGGGTGTCACATGGGTATATCGCCTTCTGAACAAGAGTGCCATATGATTCTGAAAGTTCAACATCTTGCTTTCTAAGACCACAATTTTGACTCTGAAAATTACCACAATTAATATCAATATAATATTATATGTAACAGTATGCAATGTTCAATTCCTAAAGTTGATGTATGTAATCGAATTCAGCAATTAATTCATCTACCAATGGTGATTCAATGGAAATTAAACAGCTAAATTGAAAAATGGATGCAACAAAATTGAAACTTACATCAGGAATAGAGTAAAGAGTGAAGGTATTGTTGTTCAAAATAACAAATAGACTCTGTTCGGAGTTTGTCCATTTGAAATTGGAATAATCAGCTATCCATTTATCACTCATTTTACATACTCCATTAAACTTCCACTGCTTTAATTAAGAAAGTTAGGCATTTAATGACTTTGTGTACACTTTCATTCAGCTACAAATTGGTTGAAAAGAATACTAAATGTGTGAAACTGATCATAATCGAAAGATCATAAAATAGGTTTGCTTGTAAAGCACTATGGTTTCCAGAGTAGAGCATGATACTCTTAGAAGATTCTAAATCTTTTTTGCAAGGTCCCTCCTCAAATCACTCTCAATCACAGATTGACTAGGAGGACTCTACACCCCCCTGTGGATAAATGGCACAAGCAGGTCTTCTGATTAGGAGTCCTTTATAGCTGTACTATAGCTTTGCAGTGTGAATATTCGGCTAGGTGGCCAAATTATTAGTACTTCCGTCTCACAAACAAATTCCAGTGTATATAAGGATTCTGTTGAATCTATGCAACATCAGTGGCGTAACGTTGCCTGTTGGCACCCCCCCCCCCCCCCCCCCCCCCCCCCGAAAATGCACTCCCTCACCTTTTGGCACCCCTCCCTAAAATTGGACAAATTAGGTGATTTTAGAGGATACCCCGGTAAAATCTCAAATCTAATCAAAAAATCAAATCAAATCAAATCAAAATATAATGACACAGACATCATCACACATCATCAAAAATATATCTACTAAAGTTTTAAAATTATCTTAAATCTATTGGCCTAAACAACCAAGTTAAAATGAATCTAATTTACATACTTTCCCTTTCTATATAAGTTGATAAAGCGTTTTTTAGCAACATGAGGATTACACACAAGATACATATTATGACGACGTGATAACTGATATTTATAATTCAGAATTAAAAGCTGCTTTCGATATGACTGGTGGTGGGCTCTCTCCGGCGGGACATAGATCTATATAGGGGGTACGAGTTAACGAACAGTGTTCGTGTCCTTCCACAACCCCCTGTTACCTGTGTTTCTGTCGGGGTAGCCTAATTCATCCGTTAGAATCGCAGAGTTAGCGGAGCTCATGATATCTCGCGATGTATGCTGCATGAACGGTGCAAGACTTGCGCCGTTTGTTTCAGCATCCAGTTGCGAGTGCTTGCCCATCGAAAACATGATTAGTGATTGTGGATTTTATTGATATTACTGATTATCCATCATATTCAGTATTAATGTTATCCATTATTTATTTATTGACATCCTTCAGTCTCCAAAACGAGGTGTGAAGGTAAATTAACTTTGAGCCTTGTTTTGGCGACTGCTTAATCGATGGGCAAGTAGGTATTTGTTTTTTAGCAGTGTTGAACATTGAAACAATTATAAAATGTTTATTTTTATCTTATATAACGTACAATATGAATGACATATGCTATAGTGACGTAACAAACACAAGGGGCAGATCACTTCTACAGTCAATCAGCTCCAACAACCTTGCTATCTGCAATACAGGTAAAACCCCAACTTTTGTAGGTAAACAAGGCCATTCTGTTATAGATCTCACACTTTGTAATCAACTAGCACTTAACCTTATTAGAGATTGGAAAGTGGACAAAGGTAAATCCCTTTCCGATCACGAGGCGATTTCTTTTAAGCTAGGATTAGGGGACCGTGTTAGCTTTGCCACCAGATCCACATCCAAATGCGACTGGGTACTATACAACCAGCTTGTTGCATCAGAGTTGGACAGACATCCTTTCTGGTTCTCATCAGTCAGCACAGCAACTGACCTCAACTCTCGGCAACATTTTCTCTCGGATATACTGCGAAGAAGCTTCGACTCCGCCTGCCCCATCACACGGGGAACCCTGCGATCTTCAGTACCCTGGTGGACAGCTGAACTCACCACAGCCAAGCAGACTGCTAAAGCACTGAGACGCAAAGCTAACCGAACCAGGAATAATCAAAACTGGGAACTTTCCAGGGAGGCAAACAGGACATATAAAAAACTTCTAACCCAGGCTAAACGTACAAACTGGAAACAATTCTGCGACAACCTAAAAGGGACCTCAACCCTAGCTAGGGTACACAAAATTCTCAGCTTTAACAAATCATCACAGGGCAACCTCAACAGCGTAAGGAAACCGGACGGTACACTAACGGAGACGCCACAGGAAACACTAACAGTACTTAGTGACACACTCATCCCTAGCGACGGAGCAGTGATAGATCAAACTCCGTATCATGGAGGAGATCCACTAACCATTATCCAGATTACAGCTCCCAACAGGGTTGATAGAGCAGTACGCGAACTACAGCTCAAGAAAGCAGCTGGTCCTGACCAAATTAGGAACGAGATGATAATCAATGCCTGGGATCTCATCAAAGATCCGGTCCGCATGATATTTCACAACTCATTGGCACTAGGAATCACGCCAGAACCATGGCACCACACCACAGGTTGTATTATTCCAAAACCTCTCAAGTCAGATTACACTAACCCTAGAGCCTTCAGGATTATTTCTCTAACCTCTAGCTTTCAAAAACTGCTAGAAAGGCTTATACTCTGGCACCTCGAACTGGACCTCAAAATACCAGCTAAACTCACCAAAAACCAACATGGATTCAGGAAAGGTAAATCAACGGAATCAGCGATTCATCTACTAACCCGCAGGATCGAAGATGCGATGGCAACAGGTCATTACGCCCTAGGTGTTTTCCTAGACATCGAACAGGCTTTTGATGCAGTTAGCTTCACAGCAATTAGAGAAGCCTTGCTGGAAGCCAACATCCCCCCTACTATAGCTCAGTGGATTTTCTTTATGATTAGCAACAGGTACATTACTCTAACCTACTGTGATTACAGTATCACAAAACAGGCTACTAAAGGTAGCCCACAAGGAGGAGTACTGTCTCCACTTTTATGGAATCTAACACTTAACACCTTTCTTAGCAGCCTAGGTATCCGCAGCAACTTCGTCCAGGCTTTTGCAGACGTTCTGGTAATTCTCATTCGAGGAATATGTAAAGTTACAGTCAAAGATATAGCCCAACAACAACTCAGTAACATCAGCAGTTGGTGTACGAGCAAAGGCCTAAAACTCAGTGGTACCAAGAGTACGGCAATCCTGTTTACTACAAAACGGGACAATACCCTAGACTCCCCGCTAGTTGTTGATGGTATTACAGTCCCCACGGTTAATAGTACAGTCTATCTAGGTGTTACCTTTGACCAGAAACTAAACTGGGGTCCTCACATCCTAAAAAAATGTGATAAGGCCATAGGACAACTCCACGCTTGCAAACAAGCGGTAGGAAAATTATGGGGCATCTCGCCAGCTGGGGTGAGATGGATAGGGGGGGGGGCCAATGACTACCAATGGAGACTTTTGGGGACTAATGGGGACTAAAAATCATGGGGACTAGAGGTCAACTCGTTGACGTAATTCACCATTTGTCCCCATAAGTCCCCAGAATTTTTGACAGTTATTTATGGTTTTTAAGTTAGTTTAATAACGATACGATCGAGATGTTTTGTCCAAGATAAGAGTAAGATAAATCTGGCTTAAAAGAAAAATGATAAGCCCGGTTGTAATGTGTTCTACCACTGTACAAGTCAGTTCAGATTGAGGTAAATTGAAGTTTAGCTCTCGTGAAGGTAGAAGTAGCCGACTCGCTGAACTCTTGAATCTTTTGACCCATCAGCTACAACTCGTGTTACTAGATCAATCTGATAAAATAAGCGTATATATGCAATATAGTCCAGTCATTTATTGACATTTATGGAAATGAACCTGCAAATTTTCAGATACTCACGAAACTTTGCACAGACCTTCCTAAAGGTATGAACTAATGATTTTCGGTTGGAGACATTTTTTTAATCATGGGGCCGGGAAAACCCAGGAGGGCCACGCCCATATTGACCCACCGACGCAACTGACCCTTTGCTTCTGAAGGTCGTAGAGACTTCAAAATAGACTTAAACGAAGCCGCACATGCATGTATATATAAGAGTTATTGATCAACATATGGCCTAAAATGCTTACTTTTCGAGAAATTCGCCAAAACCCATTTTGGGCGCGTCACTGAGCCCATTTAGCTCACTTTTGATAGGATCATGATACAGTCTTCGAATAGGGTGCAAAAGAACCACAATTGTCTTATTTATATATGACTTACGAAGAAACATATGCCTTAAAGTGCTTACTTTTTCAGTTATTGGCGAAAAACCGATTTTTGGTTTCAGAAATCACGCAAAAATATGGGTATCTGGTAAATTGGGCTATGAAGGTCCTAGAGATTTTAAAATAGGTGCTACCTGTTCAGAATGGCCATATTTATATCAACTTATGAAGCAACAAGTACCCTGAAATGCTTACTTTTCGAGTTATCAACATAGAACGGAAGGCAAAAATAGCTGATTTAGCCTATTTTGCTCTATTTTGTGTAAATTTTCTCTGGTTTTTCTCCTAATAACTCGAAAGGTGAGCATTTTAGGGTATATGTTGATTCATACATTGCATTGTATATAAACATGGCCATTCTGCACAATTTGCAATCATTTAAAAATCTATAGGACCTTCATAGCCAATTTACCAGATACCCATGATTTCTGGAACCCAAAATATGTTTTTCGCCAATAACTGAAAAAGTAAGCACTTTAAGGCATATGTTTCTTCGTAAGTCATATATAAATAAGACAAATTTTGCAGTTCTTTTGCACCCTATCCGAAGACTGTATCATGATCATATCAAAAGTTAGCTAAATGGGCTCAGTGCCACGCCCAAAATGGGTTTTGACGAATTTCTCGAAAAGTAAGCATTTTAAGCCATATGTTGATCAATAACTCTTATATAAACATGCATATGCGGCTTCGTTTAAGCCTATTTTGAAGTCTCTACGACCTTCAGAAGCAAAGGGTCAGTCGCGTTGTTGGGTCAATATGGGCGTGGCCCTCCTGGGTTTTCCCCATGGTAAAAAATATGTCTCCAACCGAAAATCGTTAGTTCATACCTTTGGGAAGGTTTGTACTAAGTTTCGTGAGTATCTGAAGATTTGCAGGTAGAATTCCTTTAATGACTGGACTAAATATGTCTCCTCAATGTTGTCATTGGTAGTCGCCCCCGCCCCCTCCCTTAATTTACCTGAGGTACTCTAACAGCCCTCAAGTAGCTCCCAAGAAGTCAGGAATGTCCAGTGACCATTTATAAATATTCTAGACTTCAGTCTTGAGAAGTTTACGATCTGGTCTGGAGAAGCCAGATTTTTTGAAATCTAAATGGGGACTAATGGAGACTTTTGGGGACTAATGGGGACTAAAAATCATGGGGACTCGGGGTAAAATCGTTGACGTAATTCCCCAAGTCCCCAAAAGTAGTCATTGGCCCCCCCCCCGATGGATATTTAACCAAGTCATCATTCCTTCACTAGGGTATGCAGCGGTTGTTTGGCAACACTCAACTGACAGAAGCTACATCACGGTTAGAATGGAGACAGTACAACGACAAGCAGCCCTCATGATCACTAGAGGACTGAAAAGCACTCCAACTCCCAACCTAGAAATTATGGCTAGTCTCCAGCCTATCAGTTTTAAACTTAAATCCTTAGCAATCAAATCTGCCTTGAGGCTTAAATTACAAGGAACCTGGAATAAACAGTACAACTACAACCAGATAGGACTTTGTAAATCTCACGCCCACAACGCGGAGAAAATGCTAGCTAACATTAATTACACAGGGTGCGTATTACTTGACAGCATTCCCAAGGTTATCATGCTGGACAGACGCTTCAAGGTAATTATCCAGGACAGGAAAACTGCGATTAGCTACATCGAAGAAATCTCACCTAACATCTGGCAGATCTTCACAGATGGATCGAAAGCAAGCGGTAATACAGGTGCGGGATTCTGTGTCATCAAAGGAACACAGGAATTCCACAGAGTCAGTTATCAACTTGGTAAACTAGCAACAGTTTACCAATGCGAGCTATTTGCTCTCCACATGGCTAGTATTTGGATCAAAGAAAATATAGGTACACCATCAATCATAAATCTCTTCTCAGATTCCCAGGCCTCACTCCTAGCGTTAACCAGCACCAGCATCAGCTCCAGACTAGTGCTGGACATTGCTGACCAACTTAACACATTAGGTACATCCCACAAAGTAGAACTCAGGTGGGTTCCTGGACATGAAGGAGTACACGGTAATGAACTAGCTGACGAACTAGCAAGGGAGGGATCCAGCAGCACCCCCATTGGACCTGAACCCTTCCTCCCACTCTCGGAAGGCATAATCAACACCCACATAAAAGATTACCTCTTCAATCTCCATATCAAGAAGTATAAACAGGTGGCACTCAGTGACAAAGGAAAAACCCCACTAACATTTTTCCTCAACAAAAACAGGTACAAGATAATCAACATCACAGGTACTCACATCAGATGGCTAACATGGCTACTATCAGGACACAGCCCACTAGCATACTTCCAGACGGTAGCAAACAACGCCAAATTCGAAACACAAGACTGTGAACACTGCCCAGGGGAAGCAGAAACATCACAACACTTCCTATGTGAATGCATCCAGCTGATGACAACTAGACTGAGGATATTTGGTAAACCCATCCTAACAATTGAGGAACTCATCAATAGTAAACTCGACCACATTATCAAATTTGTGGAAAAGTCATCAAGGTTTGACAGAGACGATCTATTTGGATAAGCACCTAGGACATACACCAAGGCTCATAAACAATCATACATTAGATCCACACAGGACTATCTCAGATAGTGACACATATCCAGTGGACCATGCTCAGAAGTCCCTCGCCTGCCCGCCGAAGAAGAACATCTGAAGTGGGTTTGCTCTGAGCAAGGTAGTAACAGCTTCGAGACTCCAGAGGTCTGTTGCGTTGATATCTATTATTCTATGCTTTTGTATATACTTAGGGAGTCCTGGAGTGTGGCTAGCAGGAGTCACACTCTGTGGGCACGGCGAGAAGGCCTCCCTCTTCACTAGGAGGCCAGAAACCGTTGACCAAACCAGAGAGAGAGAGAGAGTGACGTAACATATATAGTGCAAAGAATTAGTAACTTGCGAGATGTGATTTAGTGATAATCGACGTTAACATTTTGCAGTTTACAGTTGCGCAATGTTGGAAACTCGTGCCTCAAAACTTTCCGTTATTAGCATTGCAGTGTCCACGCCCTGTACTGCGTTAACAACCGAAATTTTCCCAATATGCAATTATTATTTTGCTTCTAAAATTCTCTGATAATTAATAATATATCGTGACATGTAATTGTGAGATAACAAACCTCGCGCGTGGCGCTTACATCTGCACCTGAGAATCTCTCAGCAATGTGTGGCTGTCTGCGCGGCGGGCTGTGTATTGTGTATATAGCTGAATTTAAATTTAGATTTATTTGTAAATGTATAATAATATTAAATATGTATTGATTGTTTTGTGGTAAATAAAAATTTTGTTTTACTAAAAATTTTGTTTTACTGTGCTTCTCTTTATTAGTAGCATAATTTAATCCCTCAATCTTTCCTAATACTTTGTCCGAAACATACCAAAAATGACTATCATGTACAGATCCGTTTAAAATAGATCCGTTCTAAAAAACTGTGTTTATAGAGCAAACCATGCAGTTTTGCAAGTACCTCAGTTAATTTTTTCAAAATCGTCCCACATTCAAACGACGATTTTGCACCCCCCCTAAGATGGCCCTTCGTTACGCCACTGCGCAACATATCACATCCGTGTCGGAACTCCCCGGTTGACTTTCAGATACTGTAGTGAAAACCAATATTGAGGGTTAAATAAGGAAGGCCAAGGGCTTACCAAAAGATTCAATATCTTGTAAGGGGACCCTTTGTTACGTCTAAATTATAGTATTATATATAATAAAATATTTAAACAATATAATACACATAATATAGCAATGACCCGACCCTATATAAAATTCTGTAAAAATGGTACAAATTTAAAAACTGAGGTAAAAATAAAAATAAAACCCTTTGTAATAATATATATAAAATCCACTAAATCACATCACAACAAAAAGCAGTTTAGACCCCATCCAACTAGAGCACTCCATGACCTTTTAGGGTTTAAGAGTGTTGATCAGGTTAAGGTCCAAATCACTTATTGCCGTGGGTGGAAGGGTTCTGGTACCTCTGTGCCCCCTGATAGAGATTATACAGGTTCTGAGTAGATCAAAACGCAGTCTGCGTCTGACAAATGACATCACATCACAATACCGTTGGCCTTTCTTTAGGCTGATCTTTTCAGCGAGATGTTTTAGAAACTGTGAAGCCTCAGTTGCCATTCCTCCTGTAGTACTGAACACCAGTGGCGTGAAGGTAGCCTTTTCAACATTGAGGACTCTGTCATTGTACTCACGTTTTTTGCTTTTCTCGTGAGATTGGTACATCTGTGAGATGCTCTTGTCACTGTTGGACTGGGCTTGAGGGTGAAGTACCCTTACATCTGTGAATGCCCTGTCCAGCGGCGACCAAAACGATCTCGCACTGATGTCCAGTCTTGCACCATCCTGTCTATTTGTTCCATTAGATAGTTCAAGTGTGTGAGGAACGGAGAGAAGCTGGGGTTCTGTTTCAACGTCTTTGCAAACAGTGGTTAGGAGTTCAGCTATTGTATCTCTTAACAACTGTTACGTCTAAATGCATTGCAGTGTACTGTAATCGATAGTAAAAAAGTTTATTACAATGAAATTTACTATGAACATGCATCCCTACATGTTACAATCAAGACAAAAAAGGGGGGAAAGAGGGGGAACCCCAACCCTCGTAGCTGAGACACCTCACAGCAAGTATCCCCATTGGATCATTTTGTCCGTAACATTTTAAACAATAAGTAAATCAGAATTAAAGTAAAACAAAATTAAAGTAAAATAAAATTTAAATTTTATTGTCATATTAGTATTACAATGAATAATAATATAATATAATAAACATAATTTTAACGGGTGATACTCGTAAAATATTTGTTTCAAGGACCGTATAAATATTTGTTCCAAGACCTTACCTGGGGACCTCAGGCTATCATGTTAATAAACATATTACCTGAGGACCCCAGGCTTTAATGTTGTTAAACATAAAATAGAGATTAGGCGGAATGACCGGCTGAGCGCGGCCCAGTAATAAACATAAAGATTCGGCGGAATGACAGGCTGAGCGCGGCCCAGTAACCAAAACCGCGTCGACGAGTCCAACTCGGCGCACGTACTGGTAGGTAATAAACCTACAAACATAATTAAACTTGAACATCCGATAATAAACTCATGGATATTAGACATAATATGCTCATAAAATGTAAAATACACTTTTTACTATATTATATCCTGCTTGAAAATTCGTCTCGATCATACATTTTTATCACCGCAATTCGAAATTGAATACAAATTCTAAAGCAGAAGTGAACGTTATTTAAAAAATATTCCCTCAACTGACTTGTTAACGGGTGATACTCGTAAAATATCTGTTCCATATATTGGACCGTCGACGAGTCCAACTCGGCGCGCGTCCTGGTAGGTTGTAAACTTACAACTGACTTGTTTTCTAAATGTTTAAAATTCATAAATAAATAGTCTATAGTGTTTTGTTTCACGTTGTAGCCCTGCCGCGCAAGAGTGCGCGGCTTCATCATTTGTGGCTTTCACCACAACACCACTTTGTACAATGACAGGGGGTTACGACGTGTTACAAATAATTCCACGCGTTGGCATAACAAAATTTTTGTTGCGCAATATACATGTTCTTCACATAGCCATGTGTATACGCATACTGCGTGACGCGCTTGTTTCACAAGTAGAATATATCCTTTGCCGCCTTTGGCGGTCGCGCGCTACTGCAAGCGAAAGGGCTCTGGTTAGAGCAATACATGTTCTAAAACCAAAAATGAAACAGTACTGGACTAAAAAGTAAAACAAATTTTTTAGTAAAACAAATTTTTCAGTAAAAAATTTGTTTAGTGGAACAAATTTGTAGGTTTACAACCTACCAGGACGCGCGCCGAGTTGGACACGTCAACGGTCATAATATTTGGAACAAATATTTTACGAGTACCACCTGTTAAAAACAAATTTGAAATTTAAAATTTTATTCTTTATTTTATTGTAGGTTTATAACTTACCACATAAGCACTGACCTTAAACCAGCGATAATTTCGGCTAGAAACAATATTTTTTCCAAAGCAGCTGGTACGGTAGATATTACTTGTCATACGTTGTATGACCCGCCGCGCACGAAGTGCGCGGCTCCCCCTGTAGCGTCGAAGACGCTACAGACCCCCTACAGACCCCCTACAGACCCCCTACAGACCCCCTACAGACCCCCTACAGACCCCCTACAGACCCCCTACAGACCCCCTACAGACCCCCTACTACACTATAGTGAAGCGACCGTGGGGGTCACCACGTGATACAAGATATTACTACCCTCTATCAGAAACAACTATAAAGTAAATTTTGAGAGAATTTTGATGAAGACCTTCCCCCCGACCTCCTTAACAAAAATTACACATTCCAGAACACGGCGGAAGAGAGGAAAGCAAGCTGCTGGGCTCAACAAATTTTGATAATTGTAATTGTAATTACTGGGTGTTTCATTATTCAGAAAATTTAAGAAGATTTGTTTGCTACTATTCGATATGCACTACTGTGATGAGGGTGAGATCGACAAATAAAACACATGAAATTCAATGCATAATGTTTGAACACCTTATTGCACAAATTCAAACTATAATAATTGTAAACACACAAAAATTGTTACAGAAAGTGTAAGTGTAAGTGTCCTATCATTCCAAGTCCTAGTCTCCTCTGCGGTGGTTATGCCTGTGGTGCTTAACGCCCGTGTCCGTGGTGAGCCCTTCGGTGTCTATGCCTGTGTCCGCGGTGAGCCCTTCGATGTTTACGCCCGTGTCGACGGTGAGCCCTTCGGTGTTTACGCCCGTGTCGGCGGTGAGCCCTTCGGTGTTTACGCCCGTGTCGGCGGTGAGCCCTTCGGTGTTTACGCCCGTGTCGGCGGTGAGCCCTTCGGTGTTTACGCCCGTGTTGACGGTGAGCCCTTCGGTGTTTACGCCCGTGTCGTCGGTGAGCCCTTCGGTGTTTACGCCCGTGTCGGCGGTGAGCCCTTCGGTGTTTACGCCCGTGTCGGCGGTGAGCCCTTCGGTGTTTACGCCCGTGTCGGCGGTGAGCCCTTTTGTGATGACGCCCGTGTCGGTCAGCTTCAGAACTAGCCCCAACTTCAGTAGCTGTCGCTTTTTCTTCTGAAATTAAATGTGAATTTTGAAATTATTTGTGCCATACAATGATCATTATCGAAGACAGAGTTATCATAGTATGAGCTGATACTGATCAGATTTGATTCACAGTAATAACAAAATTTTGATAAAACAAAATTTTATTTTATACCCACAATCAATTCATATTTAGTTCAAGTATTCAAAGTCAAAATCACCATTTCACAGAATTGGTTTTATTATAATAGAATAATATGTGATATGTGTACAAGTGATAAATTAATAAATTAATTTACACCACAATATGTTCAAAAAATATACAATTTTTACTTTGCAACACTGGTTCCAATTGAATTAGAAAAATCTATGATTGGTGTTTCATTACCTTCGGCTGCAGCAGTGCAGTAGAGAACAGCTGCAATGACCAAGAAAAGCAAGAACACCTTCATCTTCAAAGTTTCAAACGGTGGCTAAACAAGTTGAATCTCTCTTCCTGTAAAACACAAGCAGAACAATTACAATATTATAGTGAAATTATACTGTTATGCTCACCCTTTTATAGTTCCCTTTAATCCCTAAACTGATGCAAGGGGAGACTTTTTTCCTACCGGGTACTGCGCAAATCTATATTTAAACTGTATTAAAGTTGTTATTTGCATAATATTACTAGCTTTAAGAATTATTTGTAAAGTGTGCTAGGAAATGCCAAGCTTGAACGATGCATTGTATTATATAATTTTGTTCAATATTATTAAATTTTTGAAAAAGCTCGATTTATACTGTTCATATTTTTAAACCTAAAAGCTCAATCAGTTTCATGTATTATTGAAGGTCTTAAGCATTATATTATATATCTATATATGTACAGATTGCAGTACACACTGCAGAGATCGAATGGGAATTTCGCACCTTGCCAAAACATACAAATATAGGAGACTTCCTGACACAGACTAGCATAATAAAGAGGCATACCTAAACAAGTTCCTAACATGTACAAGAACAAGAGAGTTTGACAACCAGGCACTTGACCATACATTCTTCCAACTAGAGCACTGTAAACCACTTTTCAAGCAACAAAACATCCTGGCTTTCAAAAATTTATATACATATCACACTTTTATGGAAGTTTTTAAAATACTGAAATTAAGGTGCCCAGCATCACTGCAACAGCATTATTAGCCATCTTCTAGAAAAGAAACCACTCTCATTTCACAACTCCCATCTAATGACTTCATATCAAGATCCACAAAAATTTGGAGCACAATTGCACCTAAACTTAAGCTTTTTGACTACTCCTACAAGATTAGCCTTGCTAAAAGTCGCCTGAAAAAGGCACTTCTAAAGCTGCAACATGCTTATAATGATTCAGCATGGACTTCAAGCGATTATGACATAATGCAGCTGCCATTTGAAAACAATCCCCTTCAACAAATTTAATCCAGTGTTCTCGGCCCACAGGTTCCTCCTAAATTTAAAAATTTTGATTTTGGTAAATGTGTGCTGACTCCACCACCTATGTATTTAGCCTAATATTTAGTGTTTTACAGGTAGAATTGACTTAGGTAGGTATTTTTCTCTTAAGGTAGATATTAAAAATTTGGTAAATTTCTTAATTGTATGACTTTTTCCATTATTGAGACGTTTTAAATATTTGATTTAAGAGGTTTTTTTTATAGGACTGGTTCACAGTGTGAACAGATTCCAGATTTATATATTTTTTAATTGATATTTAATAAATGATTAAAAGAACCAATTTTAAAGTTGCCATAGTAAAGCCTTTAGGTCCAAAAATATACCCATTATGCTCACTTAAAAACAACTCTAAATCAGTAGGCTGTCACTCTATTAATGCACCACACCGCTTCCTCCACTGCACTAAAAGTTATACAATAAATTCTACAATCCTAATTTTGTATCGTGATGGAGACCGGTGTCCATACAAAACATTTACTAGGTTGCCGTTTGGTGTGAGCAATAGCGAACAGCACGCACACTCCTTTGCCCCGTCAACCTATATCTAATCTATTTAAAGAGTGACAACCATACTACACATTGAATTAGGATTCCTTTAAATATCAAATTGATTTATTGTAAGCTTGTTTACTCTGTAATAAATGGCATAAAATTGAATTTTTGTTTAACTGAATTTTTGTTTAACTGAATACATATTAATGTATTGCGTATATTCCTCGTCATTCCTCCAGGGATGGAGCAATATTCTACTTGGGGTGGAGCATTCCATTTGGGGTGGAGCATTCCATTTGGGGTGGAGCATTCCATTTGGGGTGGAGTATCCCACTTACTGATTGTAGCCATATATTTTAGATTTTCATCATCATCATCATCATTGAAATTTTTGCAACAACTGACACAAATCATCTTTATTTCATAGCCTGATGTCAGAACGTGAATGTACATCTGTCAAAGTTGCTATCAGGGTTCGACCCTTACTTGAGAGGTGAGTTCAGTGTTACCTTACAGTTGTTAGCATGTAGCCATGTATACAGATTCCAAGAGTACCTATAGAAACAGTTTATTCAACGATAATATTTTTTTTCAAAAGAACTTTACTGCAATAGCAGACATTGCCATGAACAATGTGATGATTATTTTCCACAACCTACCCAATATCCATATCACAGGGAGAGGATAAAAAGATGTAAAGAATGTCTGATAGTACTTCCAAATAAAAGCCAGTTGGCACTAGGCAAAGACCAAAACTTCACTTTCGACCATGTGTTCGAGGAATCCATCAGTCAGGACAATTTATATTGCGAGACTGTAAAACCCCTGGTCCTGTCATGTCTGGATGGTTATAATGCCACTGTTTTTGCTTATGGACAGACAGGTATGAGGTGACTTTGTTTAGCTCATTTTCTCCAACTTAAGATTTTCTAACCCATTTTAAAGTTTCTTTTACTTAAATAATATAAACGGAAAATTAGGCCTTCCTCGATGTTGTGATCATACCTTTAAAATTCAGGGAGCGGAAAGACCTACACAATAGAAGGTGTTGATTCAGATCCAGATCTACAGGGTATTATTCCTCGTGCAGCTGCAGATTTCTTCAATCTTATTGATACATCTGATAGTGATAAGGACACCTTTGTGGTAAGATAATGAGCGAGTGGATTCTAAAAATGAAACTGAAATCAAAATTTTCTTCTTTCAAATGATAAACTTTTCTAGAAACTCAGTATAGCACCTGAGGTATTACTCGAATTTCCCATGTTATGTATGAAACTATAAAACGAATAGTTGAATTAAATCTCCACCTTCAGCTAAAAGTGTCCTATCTTGAGATATATTTGGACGAAGTGAGGGATCTTCTGTCGAACACTGCAGAGGAGATTCACATCAGGGAGGATGATAGAGGGAACACAGTTATTCAAGGTTTTTGTTTGATCTGTTTAGTCGTCTTGATACTTTAAATGTGTCTTGGCAACTTGTACGAACACCGATGGGACAGTAAGACAACATTAAGACACATTAAGACAACAATAAGACAACATTAAGACACCAATAAGACACATTAACACAAAAATAAGACAACATTAAGACACCAATAAGACAACATTAAGACAACATTAACGCAACAAACACCAATAAGACAACAAACGATAAGACAACATTAAGACAACATTAAGACACCAATAAGACAACATTAAGACAACATTAACGCAACAAACACCAATAAGACAACAAACGATAAAACAACATTAAGACAACATTAAGGCATCATTAAGGCAACATTAAGACAACATTAAAGCAACAAATTCGTTTAAGACAACAAATTATGTATAACAGTATAACACTATTTCTTCGAATATATTTTACTTTGTCAAATTATATTTTACTTCATCAACTGAGTTAGAGTAATACGAAATTGTGACTTAAACTCTGAAAATGAAATAATTAGGTCTCATTATTTATCAGGTAATACAAATCTACAGAGCAATAAATTAATCAAAAATTCTTCTGAATAGGGCTGGGATATCTTGGTTGAAGGCTTTCCTCACGGAGGCGTTGTCTCTTGTCAGTCCGTATCGCTTACACCACATAAATTCTGACAAGGCTACAGTCATGGCTGCTGAATCCGTTCGGGTACGACCGGTTCCTCTTCGCATGTGGTTCTTAGCGTGGAACCACATCCCTTCGCAGCTGTTGGTGTGAACACCAGTGACCGGGTCCACAAATCCTCGACTATGGTTGACAACTTGATGAGGAGTCTTATCGTTTGTTGTCTTATTGGTGTTTGTTGCGTTAACGTTGTCTTATTGTTGTCTTAATGTTGTCTTAATGTTGTCTTATTGTTGTCTTAATGTTGTCTTAATGTTGTCTTACTGTCCCATCGGTGTTCGTACAAGTTGCCTGTGTCTTGTTTATTCATTGTTGTGAACGAAAGTATGATCAAAATGTTTCGCTGAAATTGAAACCTGACAAAACTTCACCAAGGTTTGAAAGAGGTGCCCGTTACAAGTAGTGACGAGTTGCAAAAGATAATGAGGTATGGAATGGCAGTTAGAACAACCGGAGCTACTCAAATGAACGAGCAGTCGTCACGTTCACATGCCATTCTTACCATTCACATCAACAAGCAGTCTCCAAAGTCTGTGAGGAACATTGAGGTTGGTCTGATGATTTTTTAATGAAAATTTTTTAAACCTCTGGCTTGCCCTCAGATCAGATAATAGAATTTTGAAATCATATCGGTTATGATTTACCAGTTTCAGCCTCTTAGACTGTATTCCAAATTCTAAGAAACATCTATGAATTAAAGTCACTATTGTGACGGTACATTAGAACCAGACAGAAACAAAATGTGAAGGGCCTGAACAGAACCCCTCGGTTTCAGTTCCTTGTTTAACACTGCCGTACAGCAAGGACATTCACCGTTGGTTCTCCAACATCCATATATAGATGTTTCTATAGATGTTTATATAGGATATATAATATCATATATATTATTATATATGAGATATATCTCATGCATTACAAAATCCTACAGGTAACATCAGCAAAGTTTCACTTCGTTGATCTGGCTGGTTCAGAGCGGGCACACCGAACAGGAAACATTGGCGAGCGCTTCAAAGAGTCCGTTCACATCAACAGTGGACTGCTAGCACTTGGAAACGTCATAAGCGCTCTCAGTGACTCGAAACGGAAATCAGGTCACGTACCTTACAGGGCCTCTAAGATAACAAGGCTTTTGAAGGACTCTCTGGGAGGGAACAGCAGGACCCTCATGATAACATGCGTGTCACCGTCCAGTGACTCCTTCGAGGAGACGCTCAACGCACTTAAATACGCTAAACGCGCCAGAGACATTCAGAACAGACCTATTGTAAACAAGGATGTGATCGAGTTGGAAATGCAGAGAATGGAATCAGAGATATTGCAGTTGAGACAGCAGTTAAAGACACGGGAGAATAGTTCTTCTGAGGTGTCTGGAAGTGATATTGAGAGTCTTCAGGAGGAGAAATCACATTTGGAGAGTGAGGTGGGTGAAATTTTGAAAGTTTACTAATTGATTTGATAATTCTTCAAAGAAAATTTCTGATTTTTTCTGAATATACTTACTGATGACATTGCTATGATCTTATAATGACAGATAAAACTAATTTGGTACATGTGGCACTCAATTAACTCCAATAATCAAACTCATGGTCAGGTTATTATGATTTTGAATAATCTTTGATATTAACATAAAGTTCAGCAACTATTTATCCAGCTCGACTCATACAAACAATTCGTGAGATCATGTCGATCAGACGTGGAACGGTGCATATCCAAGAAATCCACCGCTGGTCTAGCCAAACTTCTGGAAAAGATCAAATCACGTGATACAAAACAGGGTGGAAGTTCCAGTGATATTTCAGATGGTGTGTTTGATGAGGATAGTGATGTGGTGTCACAGCTGCGGGGCGAACTTAAGAAGTGTAGGGAGGATTTGTTGAATGATGAGAAGATATTTGCTGATCAGCAGTTAGACTTTGAGCAGGTCACACATATTTTATTTATACTATATTTTAAGGAAATTGTGTTTTTTATGACGGTTAATTGTTAAATCATAGGGAGGCTTTTCGAGTTAAACTAATAATATTATGAATCAGTATTCAGTAATTGAAAGCGTTGTTTGAATCAGGTAAAATCAGAGTTAAATGAGAAGATGTCACGCTACGAGGATGAAATACACAGCCTAAAAATAGAGATCGACAAAATGAGAGAAGGAGTTGACGAGAATCTGAACACAACCCTCAAAAAGAAAAGCATCAAGATCACCCGTACCAAACCTTGCACATTTGAAGAAATCGAAGAAATAATGAGAAAGAAAACTTTCGTAATCTTCGAGAAAAACATCAAGAATTGCTTGGAAAATACAAAACCAAGAGCTAAATCAGAGATGTTGGAGACGTTCACAGTTCCCCAACCCAGCAAATGTACGATCAAAGACCACTGTAACTTGGAAAGTAGGATGGAAGATTTGGTTAAAAAGAATGAGAGTTTGGCTAACGAAGTGAATCAGATGAAAGACACTACTGTGAATGTGCACGAAACAAAGAAGCATTTGGAGAAGAATATTTCAACGATTAGGAAGCAGAAGAGTGACTTAGAAAAACGGTAATTATTCCATTTCAAAAACTTTTACTTTAGTAGTAGACTATTATTCTTCGTTGAACTTTTTGGATTTTAATCACTATTTGCTGTAAAAAAGCTGAGAAATTAAACTCTTGGAATATTGAGAGTTATTTTATATCAATACATCCCATGTCTTCAGATTGAAAGATGCAGAGAAAGACTTATCAAAGCTGCAAGCTAAAAACAAAAAAGAAAAGTTGGTATCCCTCGGCAGGGATAAAATTGGGAAGAGGATGTCGGAAACGGCTGTAAATACCTCCCAGTCTTCATTTGTTCCACCTCACAATAACGGTTTGAATGATTTGTTACCGTATGAAAATAATTACTCAAAAATAAACTTTGATTGTTTTAATTTTCTGCTGCTTGTGTTTCATGTGTTCAATAAGCTGCTAATTTAAGGAATGTTTTAAGAATTCTTATTTTATAAGAATTCTTAACTTTTAAGTCCGTTTATAAACGTACTAAAAAGCTAAAACAATCCCACACCTATCCTTTAACATTCCCTCTTTGCAGATGATAAGGAAATCGAAGAAACACTAGAAAAGATAATGGAAGAAAGACAACGACTCCGTGTCAGGGAGGAAGAGATTAAGCTAAGAGAACAGGCGCTGAAAGAAAAGGAGGCTATAGAGAGTGAAATCAAGAAGTTGAGGAGTAAAGAAGTTAGAGCCAGTCAGGTATGCTAAGTTTGAATTCTATTCCTGATATTCTGATCAATTCCTTTCTTTTTTAATCTAAAATCATCCTTATCCGCCTTATTGCAGCTTTCCAGTAACATTTGTCTTTAAAACGCCATATTACATGAACCCAGGGACAAAAGGAGATCACGGCATGTGCGGAATCGCGATTTTTCCCATTATTTGCGACAAATTTTATATGTATAGTCTTATATTATTATTTTATGTATAGTCTGTTAAAATCGCGATTTTTGGGTAAAACAAATCGCGATTTTCTTTTGTCCCTGCATGAACCTCCTATAGATATTATCTCATCATTACTAAATCGTGTTAACTTTCAAAAACATCTGTCACGGAAAAAATGTTAAAATTTGCCAAAAATCAGTTTTTGTGGCATAATTTGGTGGATAATTTTTGGAACGGGATAAAACTCCAGGATATGGTGTGCTATACCCTAACCTTTACTATCTGCCACTTTTTGTTTCGATTTAGGGCTAAATCTGGTGGATAAAAGTGAAACAGACCAATCCACTTCAGGTGGCCTTTAAAAATATTTAATTCCATCTAAACTCCTAAAATATGATTGAGACTTAACAATAATCGTTATAACTTCATAATTTCATAAGTAGGGCCGGGATTTTTCTTAAGGGCCAAATTTGGTGGATATATTTTTTTACCTCTTTTTTAAGACTGTTATTTGTTAGCTAACATCAATTTACTGGTCTTAAAATGATGCAAAGGCAATGTTAAATCTATGGCATCAACTATGAAGTACAAGATTCAAGTTAAAAGGCTATTTTTGGTGGATATAAGTCAATATTAATTAGTTAAACACGTAAATGTTACCAAAATATCAATAAATAAGACATCATCATGATTAGAAACAGTTGAAAAAATGAAATATAAGATGTTGAACATTTATGCATAAGGTACTATGGCATTTTAAGCATTCAGGGCCAATTTGGTGGATAATTAACCCAAAAATACTTAAAATATCGACCTGGATATTTTGATATCCATCAATTTTGGCCTTAAAAGTCGGCTTGAGCTTATCACATTTTGTGCTGAACAAGAAAAAGGTCTAAACAAACCAATATCAGTGTATGATTTCATAATCGAGCAAATCTAAGGCCAGAAATAGTGGATAAAAAAGCAAATTTAACCGTTTTTAAGCTAATTTCTTAGGCATTTATCCACCAAAAACGGCCCTAAATGGAGAATGTTTGGAACGTTTACTTGAAACTATAGCCCTTCTTTTCGACCTCAGAGCAATGATTTTCAGCTCTTTCGACCTTAAGATATAATTATTGGGCGTTGAAAGTGGATCACATACGTTATCAGTCAAGAAATCGTTATTTCAATCACTGAGGTAGGTTATTCACATTTAATATCCACCAATTTTAACCTTAAAAGTCGTCTTGGACTGAAAATTCTTTTGAACTGACTCAGCAAAGGGGATTTTCTATCTAGAAACAGTTGTAGTTTCATGATAGAACACATCTAGGGCCAAAAATAGTGGATACAAAAGCAAATTTTCCCGTTTTAGTACTTTTATCCACCAAAAACAGCTCTAAAGGCTGGAAGGAAACAGTTTGTTAAGTTCGTATGAAACTATATCCATTCATTATGGCCCTAGAGCAATAATTGTATACATTTTCAGCTTCTAGACGAGATAATTGGGGTCTAACAATGGATAACCTGCATTATTGACTCAGAAATTGACTTAAAATTAAATCAATCTTGAAGCTCCAATATATCCACCAAAAATGGCCTAAAAATTAAATCTTCTATGCTATCATAAACTTGAAACGATTTCCAACCTGATCCGTTCACTGAGTAAAGCTGGTGAACTTGTTGACCAATATAATTTTTTCAGTTGAAAATTTTCGTATTGAATTTTATTTCTCGTTTTTATCCACCAAATCGAGCCTTAAAATTGAAATCCTTTCCCTAATTTTCGCTTTTATCAAGAGGCAATAAAATTCCCCCCGATGCTACAATTCTAATCTTTAATAAGGACCATAAATTAACCACACGTAAAGTTACAGGCCAACAAATGATTTATCCACCGAAACCCCTCTGAAAGTAATCCACCATTATAAGCCCTATTTAAATGCGTTATCTCTGCTCATAGACATAGTAAACATTATTCTTTTTGTAAAATTGAACTATCGCAAATCCTCTGCTGAAAAAAGTTTAATCACAAATTGAGTTTATCCACCAAATGAGAAGCTCCGTAGAAGTTGAAATTTTTCACCCGTGACAGATTTCGTTAACATAGTTTTTGAAATCCCTAATATAGTCTTATATTATTCTTTATGTATAGTCTGTTATAATCGCGATTTTAGGCAAACAATCGCGATTTTTCTTTTGTCTCCTGCATTAAACCTCCTATAGATAATTATCTCCATCATTACTAAATCGTGTTAACATTCAGGTTGTTTCAAAGGATTTACTACGGATGCAATGAAATTGACAAGTTAGATACTGAGAATAGCAAACAAATCCTTGGGTGTAAGTAAGGGGGACGCAAAACACTTTCAAATCAGTTGGATTAGAGGCAAGATATGGATCTTCAGAGGAAGAGAGCTGAAATTACTGGAAAAGTGAGTCTCTCAATAAAAGGGTGTGAGTTAACCTGGGTGAGTTTCAATTTTTAAATGAAAAATGTTGTGAAAGTTGTTAAAATGTTTGTAAAACGAACGACGTTTTCAGTTTGGTTCCGCTGATTCACCAATCATTTCAATGACAAGTTCCATATTTTATAAAATTAAAAATTAATTAATTTTGGCTTCCATACCTTTCCACAGTTCGAATGTACGTAGTATTTTAGCTGTCTCATTCCAATGTGCTGAGATCTATTCAAATCTTGCATTGGATATAATATTTTCGATATTTACAATATTCTGTCCCCCAAACAGTGAGTTATTGACGACGAGAGACCACCAGAGTACCGAGATCTCAATGAAGCACTAGAGATAACGGAGCTGCAATAGAGTACCGCACTAATGCAGATACCGAGAATGGTGGTCTGATACTGCCTCTCAGCTACCTTCCACACAGTGAGAATCCCTTGTGGTTTTGTTAGTATGACGTCATAAGTTAATGACATGATGAGTGATGACCGAATGATGTCACAATTTAACTCCTTGTTCAAGTAGCTATGTCGAACTAAGAATGCACATTATAATGGACTGAAAGCGCTTTCTATTGTGAACCACTTTAAATAGTTTACGTCCGTCGTCCAAGACGTCCATCTCCGATCCAAAATACTTGTTCTTTGATTTCCTATAATATTTACAACAGGCAGTAACAGATACACGTCAACAAACGATAGTAACACGCAGGAGAACAACACCGTGTTACAACAGACCCCCCCAAACCCCTTTAGCTGAAGATAGAAATGGAGAACAGAACTTCAGAACTCAACTCCTTAATAAACTCTTCTTTCAACCATCTCTCGGTACAAAAAAAATTTTGTGATTTTAATGATTTTGTGAATTTAATTTTGTATAATTTTAACACGCTTTCTACTTTTCTCGGTACAAAAATACAAACAAAATAAACAAGTCCATCCGAAATTACATTTCTCGGTAAATGTTCCAGATTTTTTATGTTATTATTTTTTTCACGCTTCTGAGAATGATTTGCCGTCTGATGTTAAGGACTCGGGCATTTAATCGTAATCCATAGATACTATACAAACGTGTTACGTTTTAAAATCTAACGTTCCTGGTCGAATATTTTAATTTATGAAATGGCGAATTCAAACTCTGCTACACATTTCATATTCGCAGGTGAATGACCGTTTGAGTTTTCAGCACAACTGATTCACTAGTTACCCTGATTTAAGCTTATACCTTTATAAGATTTTACAGTTTAAGCTCACCCAACCTTCCAATCACGGTAGCCAGAGTCGCCACAACCCCCACCACACCAACCCCGCCATGCCCTGATGGAAACGTGACGTAGCTTACTACAACAACAGCTGGTCAGGATCCTGAAGGCCAAGTTGCGCGCACCAGCCCACGTGACAAACACCGGAGCTAGCGCGGGAACTGATACACTGAGTGGGGAGTTCTGACTCCCGTCAGGAAGATGTAAGAGGAGCTGAGACCATCCGGCGGAGGAGGCGTTCCACCATAGGTCGGACTGGTTTAACACCAGTGGGTTAATAGTTCAGTACCTTTAACATGGGGACTAGTGATTGGTTACTGTTTTTACACGTCACGACATTCTTAAGACGTGCAGAGGCTGAAAGCCTGGTGGTTTTATCTTTTCACGTGAGCTGGCACAGATGTTGTGATATGATTTGATGATTATTTATCACGCTATGATTGCGCTGAGTTATGCCTTAGATACGGGTTTGAGGATATTGGGAGGTTTTTGAAACAGGGTTCTTGGTAAGGTTTTGGTAATTGTGTCGGAATTTTCATAGTGTATGTAAAGTTTTAACTTATGTAAGAGCTCGGCATAATTTCATGGCGGTTTTTTACTGTGAAATACATAATTACTATTATCATATTTTCAAATTTTGGACTGACTCCTAAGGATTCTGCATGTTAAACTTATTGATAACTGCTACACGATACATGAATATGAGCTTTGACTGAACCTTATGACCGAACCTGATAATATAATTCTAAAATTATTTTGACTCTTTGAACAGAGAATGGCTGGATTTTTGCATGCTTTATTTGTAAATTTAAAATTATTTGATTGGTAAAAACTGTGTGATATATTTTTGATAAAAACATATTATATAAATTATATGGCCTGGTTTAAAGCGGTTACTTCTTAATAAAATTTTAACGAAAAAAAAAAAATGTTGTCCTATCATCTTTAAAGTTACCCAAGTTAGTCTTTTGCAGGCTTCAGATATTAAGGTGATAACTTAAATTAATTATTCAAATAATCAAATTAACTATTTACTTACTTAATGAATTAACTAATTACTTATTAATTAGCTAATACTTAATTAAATTAGCTAATCACTTAATTACTTAGCTAATAAACTTAATGCTTGTTAGGGAATGTCAGGAGGATGACAGCAGGAGTTACCATGTCAGATAACCAACCCAGCTCGAGCTGTCCCTGTTAAGGGTCAAGAAGCAGGAGATACTTCGATGTCTAAATCTAGCAAGCTTTCTTTGGGAATGATAATTTCAGTACCTCAATCGTGTCTTGTGACATCCTCAGTGACCTTGCTAGATGGTCATTCAAGAAAAATTCAGTCAAAACAAACAATGAAATTTGAGTCTTGGAAAGTTGGAAAGCTGATCTCTGTAAAAGATCAAATAATCACTTTAAAATGCCAATGGCTTATTTAGATTTGTTAATGACTTGTTAATGACTTGTTAATGACTTATTTATGACTTGTTAATGACTTGTTAATGACTTGTTAATGACTAGTTAATGACTTGTTAATGACTTGTTAATGACATGTTAATGACTTGTTAATGACTTGTTAAAGGTTTTGTTAATGACTAGTTAATGACTTGTTAATGACTTGTTAATGACATGTTAATGACATGTTAATGACTTGTTAATGACTTGTTAATGAATTGTTGATTACTTGTTAATTAATTAATGCTTGTTAACAGGACTCTTAAGAAGCTGAGTAACGCAGAGAGACTGGAAATGGAGAACGCGAAGATGGAGGAGAGACTGAGAACTCTGAGGAAAACAATAGAGAAGGAGAAGGAGGAGAGGAGGTTAGTACAAATAATCAATTAACTAATTAATTAATTGATTAACTAATCATTTAGTTAGTTAGCTAATCACTTAATGACTTGAGGAGAGGAGGTTTGTACACAACTTGTTATCTGTATTTATTGGTGAATATTTGTCACGTGGTATAGTAACTGTGTTATATTTGGTTGATTTATGTCCCATGTTACAGACATTGTGTTCTAATTGTTTTATTTGTGTCACATGTTAGGGATACTGTGTTCTAATTGGTTGCCACCCCAGTAACTGTACTAGCCTGTGGAAATCAGGACAGACGGGAGCTATTACTAATTTCGCAAAAGAGCACAGCAGTAAGAACAAGAGTGCTGGTATTAAACTCGGTGATAAGAAGATTAAAGTTAAATTTCTTACTCCTGTGGTAGAGAAAGGTGAGAGTTTATTGACGTTAAAGTATGAGAAATAATTGTATTTTTTATAGCCTTGGCCTTCCTTGGCTTAACTTAATAAAATATTAATACTGATCGGGGGAATTTATCAAAATTGGAACGAAATGAAAAGGCATTGCAAATTGGTAGAACACATGCATAATGCATATATTAAGATAAAAGGTGGTAGGGTTTTACAAATCACCACAATCATGCAGCCCAGTTATAGTGTACCCTTACATTCCAATTTCCAGGAGAATCCCGAGAGAAACAGCGTAAAGCAGCCCCACGTGTCTCCACACCCCACAACTCTAGCACCACAGCTGGCTCATCTTGGGCAGAACCACAAACATCCCACCAAGGTCCCGCTGAATCTCAGCGCTCTGAAGCACCGCACTCTGAAGCGCTGCACGCAGATGCGCCTCACACAGAAACACACAGTTTTGAGATGCAGAGAATGCCCCGTGAGAGCATGGCGTGGAGTGAAGTGGGGGAGATGGAGGGGTTACAGAGACAAGCTAGCATTGTGGGACCAGTGTGTGGTCAGTGTGAGCTAAACGGCGCTCAGATGGTACGTGTTTTAGTTTCGGTGGTAACCTAGGTTAAAGTTGGTATTTATATTTAAATCTTAGATGGTAGTTCAGATGGATATGTTTTCAGCTTGCATGCATCTCGATTGAATTGCAAATATTATGTGAAGCTCATTTTTCAGATAACTGATTTTTTTCAGAATTGCATGGAATGTGGTGAGAAATACTGCACGGAATGTTTTGCAATGTTCCACAAAAAAGGAGCCCTAAAATCACATACCTCCCGACCTCTTACTAGACAAGCCAACTTGGCTTTAAACAGTGGTCCTGCAAGACAAGTCAAAATGTAAATTCTTTGTTAATATGTTTTTGAGAGTCAATATTAGGCTCAATTTATTGAGATTGAATTGAGAATTGAGATTGGTTTGAGATTGGTTTTGAGTCAGCTTACATGATATAGCTTCTATGAGTTAATATCGATTTGGAAGCCTAATTTTGTGCTTAAGAAAACGTTTGCATGCCACTGCTGTTCAACTGTGAAAGTGCTTGACAATTTCTGTACGTGATTTCCATGGGCCTTCAGTCACGAATCACGAATTAATATAGCCAATATTTTCAGTGAAGAGCCGATACAAGAAAATTCTCTCTGGGGAGATTATGATGAAGATGCATCAGCTGCAGGATTTATGGACGCAGTCAAAGCATGGCGGGGCGAAGAAGTAACAACAAATAGTACTGGTAATTTGAGAATATAATCGCATTTTGACACATTTTGAAATCTGCTAACCCGCGGCCAGTAAACAAATGGAACGCGCGTACGCCGAACACTTATTTTGTGTTGAAACGTTTTCGCGCAACCAGTCAGTGTTTCGAAAATGCGAATTTAATGATCGATTTGCTATGCATTACAATAGAACGATATTTCACGTGCTTCAATTATTTTGTTATGTGTTTAGGCAACCAACAAACCGGTGTTGCTGGGAAGACTACGGACGGTTCACAAACAGCCAAGGGCGCTATTCCTGATATAAACTTCTCAGAAAACGAGGTATTTATTCTTTTATCAGCCAAATTTCGAAACCATTCCGTAATTATTGCAATTATATATCTCTATGATCTATGAAGAATTGATCCATTAAAGGCGAAAGCATATAATTAGAGTATTTTGATATTCATTATTATCGATACTATTATTGATGAGATAATTTCAGAACGTGTCATACTTTGAGCGGATGCTGTTGAAGAAACAGAAAGAGACAGTAGAAGATGACATTATTGACAGTGAAGCTAAAAGTGAATACAGTGCAGGAGAGATAACTGTGTCACAACTCGACTTTTGTAGAGGTAAAGATAACATGAGTCATTTTGTTACGAATTGTTATAAAAATATAAAAATCTATGCTTGAAAGTGTAAAGGAATAACGCTCCTACTGCCCCTCAAAAGCACAAAGTATAATCACGGAAAGCGTAAGACGTAAGCGTTTTATTATACTGGATCCAATCAGATATGTATACGATTTTAATTTCAGATCTGTTGGCTCACAACATTGAAGAAGATCGCAAATCTAGGATGGAGGCTGAACGACCAGAGAGTACTATTGAAATTGTGGAAGTTAATTCCAACATTGGTAAATATTCACATTCTTTATTCTATACCACATATTATTTGATTATTCACTCTACGACATTGGTAATTGTTTACTGCATTTTACTACAGTTTTTACCACAATATTTTTACTACAACGTTTTGCCACACTTCCAAATTATAAGTATCAATCATCTAAACAGTAAACACGCCTAGTTACTTATGAAAAGCTTTTACAGTTTTAATTCTCAACAATTATCATGGTAATGGGTTGTTTGTATAGTTTAATTTTTTAAAGTTACATTGTTTTGTTAAATTTTTTTGTAATCACATTTTAAAAGTTAAATTTTGGCTATTGAACAGGGTATTTAGAAGAGATATCAAGTTGTGTAGTTGAAGAGTCGCCAGTTTGCTCTGACGATGAGGATGATGTTAGAGTTCAAATGAAGGTAAGAACTGGGCTGTAAGATTCCTCCTTTTTTATGAATCATGACATCATTATGTTAGAGAAACAGGTAACTTCGAAAAGTTAAATTAGATTGATTGATACATCTATATTATCTACCTGATATTACCATTGATTATCATATAATTTTATATCTTAAAAGGTAAAATATACAAAAATATCTTAATGGTAGAACAATTTTTTCATTATTTGAGACCAAGAAAATCGCATTTTCAGGGAATATATTCTGGGCGGGTTCTTTAGTCACGATTCGCGATAGCCAGAACTACGAATTTATCATCTAGGAATTTATCAACTACGAATTTATCAATTACGAATTTATCAACCACGAATTTATCAACTACGAATTTATCAACCACGAATTTATTAAATACGAATTTATCAACTTTTTCTTCTTCTTTCCCTTCTTCTCTTTATCTCGTCTGCTTTGTATCCCTTCCTTTTACTTGATTTGTTTTTCTTCTCTTTGTGTCCTTTTTTCATCTTGTCCTTTTTGCCCTCTTCACGTTTGAGGTAGTCTCCTTCTGAAGGTAAAACTGATTCTTCAATCGGACGAATAAACTGATCTTCATCATATTTCTCAACAGGTCCTCTGTCAATTGAATAGAGCTGGCAATATGTAACGATATCCTCCTCTTTAGTTACCTTCACAGTGTACTCTTCAAACGTTGACGTACACTCAAGGCTCCCACTCTCAGCTATCTTCTGCATGATGGTCGTGCATTTCTTAAACATACCGTCTTTACCATCATGATCCCCACCTGGTATTTCTTCCCCAAAAACCTGGACTTCACACAGTGTCAAAATCTTCATTTCCTGAGTTATCTTCACGACATTACCCTCCAACCCTTTCTTGCAGTCGTACCTCTCTGCAACGGGAGAACCTCTCGTGGCCTGTACGGTAGCACATTCCTTAAATACTCCATCTTTTCCTACCCAGATTTGAGCTCCAATTATCCTCTCACCACAACAGTCCATCCTGTTGAAGATCTTCACTACATCAATTCTATAAACCTTCTCCAGTGTAACCTGCCACCAATTGCCCGTCGTGTATGATTTAGTGTGAGTGCACGTGTCGTCCTCCCAGTTGCCGCTGGTCTTCCCGTCCACTGCTCGGTCGCTTTCTCCTCTCACACACGTACATCCTCCGTATGTAGAACTCTGGAGTTAATTAATTATTTAAATGAATGATTTTGAATAAATTGATTAGATAAAGATTCATACGGCTAGATCAATCATTGAAATTTAAAATTTTAAGCCCGTTCGAACTTTCGACTTAGAATTAGCAGTGAACAAGCTTACATTAGGGAAAGTAATTTTAAAAAGGTTTCGAATATTATAAATTTCTTTCTAACTGACCTGAGAAGTTGGACGTTTCAAAGCGAGGTTTGTCTGGCAATAAGCCAGCTGAATACCGATCAAAGCCAATAAAACTATTGTTGAGTTCATCTTGATGCGATAAGAAATGAAGTAAGAACTGGTTACTGGACCCTCCTAAATTTAATAAATGTTCAATATTAATTATTTCATACAATTAGTTAAATGTTTGAAACCACAGAATTTATTTATTTACTTGTGTCATGTTTACTTTTTAGTAAGCATCATATTATTTCGGGACTCGGGAAATCGAAATATTAACTTAAAAGCTTCTTTCATTAAAATTTCTGATTGTTTCTGAATAGACTCAGTGAAGAGGGTACGATCTATATTCCAACCTTAGTTTGTCTAATAAACTTATTAAGAGGATGAAAGTTACCGTGTTTACTTATTAGAAGTTTGTAGTCTTAACTCTTTCAGTAAGACTCTAGTACACAAAAACTCTAAGTGAATACAATAACATGTCCACCATTCAAAAGGGTTAATATCCATTTACACTGAAATTACAAGTTTGATAAATTCCGGCAGTTTCATGAACATTATAATTCCAGTCATATCCTAGGCAGTAAACGAACCAATTGTGGGTATTGTTGACAAGTTAACACTATACAGACCCTACCCAAATTATAGTTGTCCCTATTATAGAGTTAAACATAGCATCGTTATAATTAAACAGGGAGTCACCTTTTGTATATTTATATACAAAAGACGTACAACTAATTATAATAATAATACCAAAGTAAGTAACTATAAGTTATTTATTAATAAAAACTGGCAAACCACAAGGTGTTAACTAATAAAGTTGTGGACTGCTATTATGGTAATAAAGTAAACTTATTGTCTAATCAGACCTCCTTTCAACAACAGATGACAACATAATATAATAGACTAACGACAGAAAAATGCCGAACAATGAAATATTTCTTTCACTCATTTAAATAAATATGAATCCCCGTTCAATTAATCAGTTTATCAAGAATTCATTTATCTATAATTAATTGCATCCAAAGCTCCACATACGGAAGATGTCCATGTCGACCTAACGGACAAAGCGACAGAGCAGTGGACGGGCAGACCAGTGGACAATGGCGCGACGACACGTGCACTCACACCAAATACAACACGGGCAAATGGTGACAGGTTAAACTGGAGAAGGTTTATAGAATTGATGCAGTGAAGATCTTCAACAGGATGGACTGTTGTGGTGAGAGGATAATTGGAGCTCAAATCATGGTTGGAAAAGATGGAATATTTGAGGAATGTGCCACCATAACGGTAAAAATAACCGAGAGTGAGAGGTTCGAGTGCAAGAAAAGTTTGAAGGGTAACGTCGTGAAAATAGTTCAGGATAAGAATATCTTGACACTTTGCGACGTTCAAGTATTTGGAGGTGAACCTGGTGACAAAGATGAAGACAATAAGGAGATAAAGGACAAGAAGAAAAAATACAGAAAAGACAAAAAGAAGAAAGACAAAAAAAATACAAAAAGAAGGAAAAGAACGCTGAATAATGATCGTCTGAGTTACCAATTTCCGAGATTCGTTCTGTGGTTTTGAACATTTAAAGCAGCACGAAGAAAATTAAGACTTGTGATCAAAGTAATTAGATTAGTAATTAGACAAATAATTTTATTCTGTCAAACCATTACTGTTAATTGATTCCGGACAATCCTACTCTTATATCAGGAATTATGATTGTTTTCTACAATTTATCAATATCCAAATCACAAAAGAAGACAACTTTGATCGCCAAAATATAATAAATACAGCAGTAACAATAATATTTTACCATAGATACATAATAGCGTACATAAAAAACTGCGAGTAATCACAGAGTGGATTCAACTTCATTGTCTATCTCTTGAGTATTGTTTATCTCTTTTTATCTTAAGCATTAACATTTTTCCAGCTCCCTCAATTGTTTCATTAGCTCTGATGCTATTTCCAGATTCAATTAACCGTAATTTCAATTCTTTTTGGGCACTGACAGTTGACACTCGTATTGCCATAGCTCCTGCAACTAAGGGTCCGTCTACCGTATCAAGGTTGATAGTTTTTGTTGGTTCATGTTGTCTCCTTCTCCAGCCAGCTCTAGGTTGATATATTCTACTTGGTTATTGTTGTTTCCTTCTCCAGTCAGCTCCAGGTTGGTATCCCTTACTTGGTTCTTGTTGTTTCCTTCTCCAGTCAGCTCCAGGTTAGTATCCCTTACTTGGTTCTTGTTGTTTCCTTCTCCAGTCAGCTCCAGGTTGGAATCTCCTACTTGGTTATTGTTGTTTCCTTCTCCAGTCAGCTCCAGGTTGGTATCTCCTACTTGGCTATTGTTGTTTTCTTCTCCAGTCAGCTCCAGGTTGGTATCTCCTACTTGGTTATTGTTGCTTCCATCTCCAGTCAGCTCCAGGTTGGTATCTCCTACTTGGTTCTTGTTGTTTCCTTCTCCAGTCAGCTCTACGTTGGTATCTCCTACTTGGTTCTTATTGTTTCCTTCTCCAGCTTGCGCTTCTGTGACAGGCTTTTCTCCACCTTGTACCTCTACACCATCCAGCTCAATAGTTTCACGTGGTATTGGTCTCCTTATTCTTTCTCTGAAGTCCCTGATTGTTCTTGAGTTGGCCGTGGAGGATCTAAATCTCTGAACAGGAAGGCTGAGGAGGTGTGTCACAGTATCATCGTAGATCAATGGATTGATTACAGAGTTAATTGGGAGGATGATCATGGAGAACAAGCTGTACCAGGGTGTTGCATCAAGGACATCAAAGGAATGCAATACACAAATCACTATGAATGGAATCTAGCAAAGAAAATCTGTAGTGATGATGATTGAGATTCTCATGTTCATTTTTCTATTCCGTCGTGAAATCTGTTCGTTGCCTCCTGTCTTTGTCAAGCTTTTGGATGATCTGTAAGAAATAATGCCTATTACCAAATAGGAAATTGTAATTAAAATGAAGCAGACAAAGTTCAATGCAAGGATTGTCCATACAAAGTTCCTCTGAGGATCTTCTGCTTTGACAAAATACTTAAATAGGCAGACCCCGTCGTTCCCATAGAAGTCAACTTTTGAAATCTCTGTCGTATGGTCCTCATAGCCATTATCATGAGAATACATCTCATACACCATTTTGTTTATCAATTTCCAATCGAGTGTTGTATCCTTCATTCTGCCAAAATATGCTCGAAAGATGGCAAGCAGCCTCTGTTTATTAGGTGTTCCAATAAAAACCTTCAGTTGATCTGCGTATTTCACCCCATTGACGAATAAATCCTCAAATCTGCTAACGATTGGGATAACAGCAATGGTGATGGATGCTAGGGTCATCATAAGCAAACCTGCTGCAACTTGCAGCGATTTCTTCCACGTTACCTCTCCTGGTATACTCATGGAATTGTATATTCCATAGATTCTGGTAAGGCTCAATGCACACATTGCAAATAGAGTAATTTGGGAGCCTATGGTGCTGAGGACACCAATTACTGAACAGTTGGTGCTTGTAATCCAACTGATCTGCTGAGTACAGTAATCTTCTTTAAAGATTATTCCATCGTAGATTGAGATGCAAAATAGATATCCACCCACTAGAAGATCTCCTGAAGATATGATCATGA